ATATATTACAAATATATAAATATATTAATATACCTAGCAGTAGAATGAAAACTGACATATTCTAAAAGGCTTTCTTCTACAACATTAAACAACAAAACTGTTTTTCTTCCCTATAATTAATTTTAAAGTTTGAGGAGGGACAAGATAGTAGTCAAGTAGTATAACTAGTTCAAAGTGACAATCTGCTTTGTAGATTCCCACGTTGTCATGTGTAGGTACTTCTTGGATCATCAAATCAATTTCTTTGTACTGTGGACACAACTACACTGCATAAAATAGTAAATAAATGTTTCACTTCTAAATTATCGTTTTCCTCCACAACTCTAATTTCAAGTCCGTTCCAAAATCCAACTTAAACAAAGGATCAAATCCTGACACTGTTTAAATGCTGCATTTGGGTATCAACACATCTTTTAATTCAGCTTTTGAGTATTAGAACAAGGTCTGTTGTCTTATTCTTGACATTAAGAGGAAAAGATTCTCCCCATGAATTTTCCAATAAATATTCTCAGTGTTGGTAACAAGAACTGATTAAATGCCAGATCAACTTCTCCTCTTCATACCTGGATCTTGCAGATTTGTAGTGCTGACAGGTTTCTTTAGTTCATATCCCAAGAGATACAGAGCAAGGCTGGGAGGACTACACTCAAGAGAGGTGATAAGGAGATTCAGAATATGGATCCTTGTTTCATGATGGATTTGTGCCCGCTTCTTTTCAGGCTCCAGCTCTTGATTAAAAAAACAAAACAAAACAAAACAAAACAAAAGATGAGGTGAATAATGAAGTGAAGAAATCCATTTAACTGAATAATCCTCAGAGCCTTCAAGTTAAATTCAAAAAAGCTAAGACATCAACTTATATTAGTACAGAGGGATACAAGACCAAAATTTCAAATTACTAGTAATACAGCTCTAAATAATACATCCAGAGCAATGTTAAATACTTGTCTTCTGAAAACAGACTCCATTTGTAGTTCACTCATGATACTGTGGACATATCTTAAGAAGGCATTAGTGTTTTTCATTCTGTTAAAGGTCCAGTTCTACAGAAAACAACACAAGAAAAGGGTTTTCTGACTTAAAAGCACTTTCTTCACCTCTTTCTTTAATTTCATTCTATTCAAAAGATGACAGTGTAAGCCATTTTTAAGAAGCCTTTTACATACCCTCCTCTGGATTAATTAATTCTTCTGCATCTTCATTGTCCAAACATTCCACAAACCCAGCCATCAGCTTCTGGCTAATACTCTGTATTCAACAACGGAAGGATGGAAATGAAGAGGATTTTAAGAGTATTAAAAACAATGCCTTTCATAATTCCCTCCATTTAAGCTGACAGAAGTTCTAGACAAAAATTTTATAACCTAGTTAATAAGCAGGAATTAAGAGTCATAGCTGTTCTAAGCATAGGTTAGCAATTAACCACTGAACAGAAGAAAAAAAATCTACTGTTGTTACATATACTAAATTATCCTCACAGGTTGAAGACTATAAAGTCAAGAAAAAGTCTCAGTATCTTGAAGAATATTGTCCTTTTCCTTCTTGCAAAGATTCATGATTTTGTTTTTTTCAATTAATGAAGTAGTTGCTTTTCACAATGCCACAGCAAAAGACTTTTTAGAGGTAGGTAGATATAAGACAAAATATAGTTTTAATGTACTTGACCTAGAAACCTACACTTTAAAGTAACATTATAGAGCACCAGTATTTCTCCACCAGTTTCTCTTTCCAGATCCAAAGAAACTGGCACTTACCTGATCATGTGTGAAATCACCAACTAGCTTTATCTGGATGTTGGAATTACAAGAAATACAGCACAAAATCTTAGCACTTTCAAAAGCCAGTTCAGGATTGCTGTTTCCATGACAAAGATACCTTCAAAAATACAAGATTATTGTAATGAAATTGTTGAAAATTTTACTATTTCAAGATGGTAATGCACAGATGAGAAATTAAACAACTTTTAGAACTAAAACATTTACAAATCAAACTACATGAGAAAATGTTAAAGCTACAAATAAAATTTCACTCTACATGAAGCACTTAACACCCATCCATCAAAAGGAGGGTAGTAGGCCGAGTAGGGATAATTATCTCTCCTGGCATTTTTATCATTCTTTTTATCCAGAATCTACCTCAGACACTGCAGGATAAGTTAAAACAACTGGTCACAGGCTCACACAAGAAATGTGGACAAAATACCTTCAGATCACACAGAAATGAGCATCACTGAAGACCAAAACTAGCTAAAATCAACTACTGCATGTACCCAAAATAGGCGAGATAAAAAAAATTTAAAAGCATCTTAAAAGGCACACTTTTTTTAAACTATTTGTCAACTATTGTTATGTTAAAAAAGTAATATAAACAAAAGACAAAAACACGTATATAGAAAAAGTTAAATTTTTAGTGTATTCCATGTCAGAATATCACTGCTTTTTTATGCACTCAATTCTACTACTTATCAGTATTGGTTTGTCTGTAAAGTTATTATAAAATCAAACAGTAACAGAAGGTGTCAGTGGGAAGTGGATATCCTAAAGTTTCACATTTGAAACTGAGTTTCATATTACTAGCCTGATGCTTCTAATATAGTAACTAATGGACAATACTGTAACACACTTAAGTGGCCAACAGCAGCCAAATTAAGTTTTACTCTCCCACTCTATGGTAACCAAAGTCTAGGGCAAACTGAAAATTATATGCAAGGGAATCACTGCACGTAAGGCAACCAGGAAGAAAACATGAGGGGCGGAAAAAAATTTCACAAAGAAAAACTATAAATGCAGATCCCAATCTTGCACTAGACAATACACTGATCATACCACCTGTGAAGACATCTCCCCCCACCAAAAAAAATTTCAGAGATGCTCTGTGCAAAGAGAAGCATTGGCTAGTAAAACTAATGAAAGGACCAGGATCCAAACACCTCTGTGCCTCCAAAACTCCTCCCTTCTCAGTACTTTGCACATACCTAGCGATATTCACCACATGATCTGCCTTTTTAGTGCGAGGATTGATTCCTTGAAGCAGCTGCTCCAGCGGTGTGACAATAAGGGAAAGGTGGCTCTCCCGCAACAGATCCATAAAAAGATTTTCTTTCTGTAGGGTTAAGTTTAGAAGTGCAAGGCAATACTGTACAGCTTTCTCTAAATGCTTCTTCCCTGCAGTGCACAAACAACAAAGAACCATAAGAAAAACAAAGGAGCAGTTAGACTACATTCATAAACCTCATTCATCAAGCCTTGCACCAAGAAAGAACTTGTCAGTTCTTTACTACTAGGAAAATTCCCCCCAAAACACCATTTTTATATGCAAGAAAAACAACATCAAGTTGAAGATATGCAATGTCAGCTTTAAACCCTACTTAGTATGCATTTTAACTTCACACGAAAAATAAATTCTAGGCACATACCAGGAAATGGAGCGTAAGTATCAAGCTGCTTAACTCCTTCTTCTAGCAAACTAAGGGATAGTTCCAGCATTGGGGACTCATTCAATAGATGATACATCAAATTGAATCCAGGTGGCTTATATGCTATTATTTCTTCTCCTAAAGAGAGGAGGGGAAAAAAATTTAAAAAATTAAAATCTTATAGAAAAGACTTCCATTACTCAAGCTAGCCTGAGCTACAAAACATAACAGTCTCTGTTATGGTAAGCAACATGTAAATAGATGAAACATACTGCATACAAAGTCTTCAGAGGTTGTCTTTACATGTAAGCAAATTAAATAATGTAAAAAGTTTGGCAAGAGTAGTAATGGCAATTACCATTACTTGTCAATATCCAATAGCACAATTTCAACTTTAACCAGTTAGACTTTCCTTAAGTAGATCTGACCTTGGATTCAAATCGGTGCTAGGGAGCTACATTAAATGGTTTTGCAAGACTGGAAAGTAACTGGAAAAAGTTTACATCCTGCCAAACCTGCATGAAGACCCTGGATGAGGGAAAAAGCATTTCCAGAAATCAAAGCTGAGAAGGTCCACTGAACCCCTGATGCTCATCGTGTATAGATACTTGCATGGCTGTTGCAACAATGTATGCAAAAATGAAACTACTAGCCTAAAACTCAAACACCCTCCTAAAACAAAATAAAAGGAAAAGTCAAGACTAATGCTTCTGGTTTATCTAGTCTCCTAGTAAACTACAGTGGATTAAAGCAGGAGAGCAGTTAAGAATCTTTTTTAATATGCACATGTGAATGAGGGTGCAGTTCCTTTTGGCATCAACTTAAACAATCCCCTTCTTCCATTCATTCCGTGTCTGTGCTGTCCCCTAACACGCCAATAGACATGCCATGCCAATGTGGAGCCACACACCAAATCAGTTCAAGAAATGGACCTAGTCAAAAGGATTGGTTTTAACCCATTTCTCCAATATATCATGAAACCCACAAATAATCATACAAGCTGAAGGTCTAGCTGAGGACAAGAATGCGCTAACAGAAATCGCTCAAGACAGTTAAGCTGCCAAAACCTGTTTGTCAAAGTACAGGGCACAGAGGCCTCCCAGACTGAGGCAAGCTCACTGAAGAGGTATATCTTAAAGTTGTTGTTCACTTAAGAATTGATTCTTATAGCTCTCCACTGGTACAAGCAAACTCACAGGCATCAGGCTGGCATTCAATGTTAAGAAGAAACTTCATATCAAAAAAAAAAAGGCTGCCGCCCAAATAAGCCTTAAATTTCCTATACTGGGGCAACTGCCACCTGCTTTGGCTTTTTAAAGAATAGTTGTCCAGAATTAAATTACTTCAGACCATAATTCTACTGCTACTGTCTGCTCTGAATAATTAATATATCAATAATATTAATATTAGAGGATATATCAAATACACTGACACCTTTAAATTAACCCTATGAATAGTGGGGATTTAGATATAGACCAAAGAAAGCCAGAGGAACAAGCCCAAAACCAAGGTGTTTTTAAGTGCCAAATGCTGCTCTTTAATCAAATCAGCAATGCAAGAGAGACAGAAGTCATCCTCCTAGTAGAGCTAGAGAAGTAGGAAATAACTGTGTACCTGAGGCCCTACTGAATCAGCAACATAGCTCCCAATAGTACATGGACATTTTTTGAACATCTTCCTATCTTAAAGCCTTGGGGCTAGCTTTCCACCAGCCTACTTGCAATATTAAACAAGATCACAAGATGGAGGCAAGAGAGCAAAGCATGTTACAATTCTGTTTGTCAGTGAACAAATGAACAAGTTAACCTTGTAACTCCACATATTGGTCCACAAAGTCTTCAAGTTGAGGTTCATAGTCCCGCAGCAATTTGTAAAACACTTCCAGAACTACCTCAGCTACTTCCCACTGCAGATAATCACAAAATGAAGAAAGTTATACACAGAATACGACTGATACTGCAGCAACAAGACCAGGATGACAAAGAATACAACAGGCAGTGCAGTGATGGATCAGAAGTATGGCATGACTACCTAATTCTGAAATACTATCCAACAACACTTACAGTTCATGATGTCAAATAGTTTGAAAGGCCAAGCTTTCTTTATGAAGTAAAAAGGAACACTAAAACAGATTTACTGCCTATTTTAGGCTCTATTATACAACATACATATTAGTATATTGAAACTACAAGCAATAGAGTCTTTAATAGGCATACAGCTAGCAACACATCATTAATAGCTTCTAGGATACAGTTTAGCATGCGCTTTAATCCAGAAGGATCATAAAGGAAACTCAAGTTCCTTGGTTCAGCAAGTCAGAAATATTCTCTGAAGTAACATGAGAAAAGGACAAATCTGACTTGTAAATTTGGGGATGTGATGTTCAGAAGTCATTAGCCATGTAGTAGAGTTGCAGAATCCTGTATAGCAAATTGAAATTTAGCAATAATATAAACTTCTTTTGTTTTTTTTAAAAAGATACTTTATACAGGCTCCTCAGAAGCAGTTCATAGATCCTGATGACCCATGAGTTGAAAAATCACCTGTTTACAGAATCAAAACACTATGAACTGCTCCAGGTTACCTCTGCTGCATCAAACTTGCACAGCTTCTCAAACAGACCTAAGCCACATCAGCAGTGCCAAATCATTTTAACTACATCCCTAAAAAAAAGATTTTCAAACAGAAATTACTTTTTCAGCAGCTCTCCGGTAAGCTCTGGTGCGGAATCGGAGAAACACAGCATCCCTGAGGAACTGGAGATAGGGATCAAAGCCTGGTGCGCGGAGACCTGCTCCCAAGTTAGAGGGGAATGAACTCTCCACTAGTGTGCTGATGAGTCGACAGAAGGCACGGGTTAAAGGATATTCCTCACACCGGCACTCAATCTCATTCAGTTCAACCTTCCCAAGAGGACAGCAAAAACAGAAGGAGAAAAATCAAAGATTTTGAGGTAGGAGGAAACATGTGAGAACAAATAATATAAGGGCATCATCTGTGAATTACTCTACAGTAAATTGACATTGCTGCATTTTTGTCTACGGTACACCACAAACAAAGCAAAAGCAGTGAAGCAACAGTACTGTAATTTCAGTTCAGCAATACACTCTTCATTCATTTCTGAGCTACTAGAAGATACACCTCAACATTTACATACTTTGCTTTTATTTACCTCTTCTATTAGAAGTGAAGTGAGCTGTACTAAGATGTAACAAAAGTGAGGCCAATTTAGGAAAATAGGAAAATCTTAGTACGAAGTGCTCATAAGAAGTTTGAGGGTTTAGACGCTGCTCTGTTACTAGTACGAAGGTGCAGTAGATTCATAAATGGATAAAATTTCCAGAAATTACAAGCAGGCCTGAGAGTAAATTAAGCAGCAGTGAAATGACAGCGCCTGTTCCAAGGGTTTCCCATAGACACAGCAGCAGATGCAGCCTCTACAAGTGTTACCTGAAGTGATATGCAGATGGTCAGAAAGGCTGCCTAGGTACAAAGAAACCCTTACCTCAATACCAATTGCTTGTCTCTGGCCTGGACTTCTCACAGTTTGTAGTACCTTCAAAACAGCAACAGAAATGAAAACAGGCAAACAATACATTTCACATAATTGAAGTGCATCTCAATCATTTCTATCAGGACTAAAAGGTACTCATCACTTTTAGCTGTAAGAAGAGGTTTCCTAAATCCTCTTAAAAGGTAAAAAGGTAAGATTTTCCTGTCTGAAAGGCTGGATTATATGTTGTACACTTGTATGCTTCTAGCTTTACATCCTCAAAGATCTGCATCATGTTTACTGTTAAATAAAACAAAGAACAGAAATACTTTCACATTAATGATTTTTGTCTTACATTGGCTAGGGGAAAGATGTTTCCCTTGTTATCTCTTACAACAGCATATTTTAAGGAATATCATAAATTAGGAAGCAAAGGTAGTGAGAATTTAAAATAATGCTATTATAAGATGTCATTATTGTCAGGGTTTTTTTATTAGTAATTAACAATAAACCAGCAGTTGCAGTTCAAATGCCTCACGTTCTTCCAAATAAAACAGCAATTAGTCTGAACCATAATACACACTATAAAATAAGCCCATCCCATCATGATTTTTGAATTAACAATACTGAGAGCATTTTCATTTGATATTCATCTTCCTTAGGATTCATATTTAAAATTTTTCTCTGAAATCAAGACAGAAGGAAAAAAACACTTTTTTAAAAGGCAGGGCTTTTAATATATATCTGACATTTGCCATCTAAATATGAAAGTTGGCAACAATATCCTGTAAATCACAATTAACTTCCTCTGAAAATTAAATGCCTGAAAGTGGAGCTTTTTAGCCAGTCCCTCCTTTCCGTGAGCACCACTCACACTGGAAGAATATTACACACCAAAAAAAAAAAAAAAAAAAAAAAAACCCCCCCCAAAAACCTAACAACCAAAAAAAAAAAAAAAAAAAAAAAGCCCACCCAAAAACCCAAAAAAACCCCCCAACCAAACAGAAAAATATGTAACCTGCAGAACATTTATTACTGATGACATACACTGAGGAAAAAAATGTACTGAACACACAGGACTGTCTGTCAGGAAACCTGTATTTATGTAAAATAAACACAGCCAATGAGATCTCTGAGGCATAAAACCATACTGTCATTTTCAAAATCGTTTCAAAGTAAGAACTGCATTAACTAAGTGAAAAAAATATAATCAACAATGGCAATAAGAAAATTTAGGAGGAAATGCAATACTATTTCAAATACAGTGACAATTTCAACAGATTGGGATGCTATAGTTCTAAGCACTGAAATTCCTAAAATACCTGCGTATATTCCAGGGACTGCCAGAGTGAAGCAGCTATTTCAGGAGATTTTCCAAAAGCAGTAAGGGTTTCTAAAAGCTCCGCTTTCAAAATAGGAGGAATGCTGCACTGCAGAAGTCCCAGAATGACCACTACTGGTGTCCACTGAGGGTGCTCACAAAGAGCCAAGCGAGCGTTCTCACTCTACAAAGTTCAACAGAAAATAAAACTGCGGATTATTACTTTGAAGATTAATCATGTCTTACAATCTCTAACTCACAGGTCAGTATCAACGACTCCGCTTCATACTTGCAGGCACACAAAATATCAGAAGAATGGCAGACCATTCCAAAGCAAACAAAAAGCCCAATCTAATGACTCACAAGTACTAAAATTATGCCTATTCATACAGAAAAACTATGTGCATAATATAAGCTTCTTATAAGAACCCAATTTTATTTTTTTAGTAGACACACATTCATGGAATCAGTCTTAAATAAGGTTAAGTATCTACACTCTAGACAGCTTCTTCAAGCACTGGTAGAGGGACTTTACCAGTATTTCTATTATGAACCTAAATTGCATTTGGACATTTGCTAAGAACTTATATGAATCTGTTTAAGTCTAAGAGCAGGGTCATCAACCAGTCTAAGTTCATTTCAGACTCTCACATGAATCACTGGACAGGAACAAGCCTCTAGCCTCATCAAATAATTCCCTGCATCCTTAGAACAAATTTATTTCTTCCCAGGTTATCGTTTGATGATGCCAGGAAATATTAGTTTTAAGAGTTCATTTTTTTTCCCTACACTTATCCAATGTTGACATGACAGCTCACACAGGAACACCCCATTATCACCACCATCACAGATTATTTTTAAAAAGCCTAATTAGTTTCACTGATCTGTCTTGTGTTTGTGTCAGCAAAACCAAGGGTGTCTCACTACATCACAGAAATTTTAGGCTGCAGAGTCTGGTGGGTACTGCAGAGCTGAATTCCACACTATCCAGAATTACCCAGACAATTCACAATACAAAATCTGCATCGCAGTTTTATTCTCTTGGAATCCTCTTCCAGTCAATTGATGCATATTTTACACTCTTGGTTTTGGGACATTTTAAATCTAACTCTGGAGACAAGTTTCACAGTTGATCGGTTTCCTTGCCAAATTTCTACCATTTCCTTTTAAATTCATCTATTATTTTTGCCTTTTCAAACTCATAATTAAATGCAAAGAACTTTCCTACTCTGTCGTCATTTCTTTTGAATATACCTCACTTCTGAAAGACATCTCCATGACACCAAAGTGTCAGGAACGCAAGAAAATCAGTAACACCAGCAACACAGGGAAAGGTGTCATCTCTTCCTGCTTCACTCAGACTGCATGTTTGGTCATAACAGTTATTCCTGATGCTTCCCATACTTTTGAAGTTCACTAATCAAATTACAACAATTGCTAGGTAATTTTGCCCCACATACCTTTTTGGTCAAGTGAACTTCACAGCTGAATGATGACGTTTTGAAAGAAACAAATGTGTTAACAAAGAAAACCAAATAAAAGGTTACTTACCCAATTTACTATAACAGTGGTCAGCTGTAAAAAGGCAATTAATCCATCCTGTTCTTTCTGTGTGATTCCTCGGAGAGGCAGGTGACGATACTGGACACTGTCTGCACTTGGCAAGTCTTTCCTTAAGTGCTCGTGATAAAGCATCAAAGAGTGGAAGAAATGCTCCCAGGAGACAGGGCTGCCACCTGCTCCTTGGATGTTTTCCGCTAGAAAAATGACAAACAGTTGACAAGATTTTCTTTCTACTCTTTCACAGAGTGACAAGCAGGGTAGTTCAATTTAAAAGGAAAACTTCTTATCTAGAGGAAAACAATAAAGTTCAAAGTAAAGCTATTGCTTCCAAAATCAGCGGTTCTGACTTGGGGGGGAGGGGGGGTGTTGAGTTTTTTGTTTGTTTCTGTTTTTTAATAGAGACAGAAAGGTGCTAATATGAAAAGCCAGTACAAATAAGTTTTCTGTTTTATGAATCAGAATGTTTGCAGCATTATTTTTATCTTCAAAGTAGGGGTTTTTTTTTTCCAATTTGATCAATGCAAAATTAATGCAAAACACAGGACTGACCAACATCTCTTACTTTGAGAAAGTGCTATTGTATTACACGTATCAAAAAATTCTAACGGAACAAAGTGCTTCTGAAAAAAGTCAGCTCAGTAAAGATAACTATATTTACAAAATATGTAACTTAACATTAAGACATTACTCATTTTATATTTTATAATAAGCAATATTGACATTCTGCATCTCTTATGGTGTTAAGACACAACTTTTTAAAAAACTGCATTATTTCATTATGTGAATTACTTGCTAAGGTGCTCTGACATTTAATTACCTTATCAGTTTTGGGGTTTTTTTGTCTGATTGTTTATTTGTTTTTCATAGATTACATCTTCAAGTGAAGCCTTCCAATTTCATCTTTGTACTAATAATGAAATGTTAAAAGTATGAAGCCACAATTCATCTCAAATGAGATTCTGTACTTTTCTAAAGCAAAAGAGTTGAGAAAGAGCTGAAGTTTCACTTGTCTTACCATGACTACTGCCATTGACTTTTAGCAAACTAAAGCAGTAATGAGCACACTGAGGCCCACTAGCCAGTCCCCGCAGCATTTTCAAGTATGGGATGTAAATTGTGGAAGGAAGGAGATCTCCCATTTGCCTAACAAACTTTGACAAGACAACCTAGAACAAATAAAGATCAGTGTTTAAAAAAAAAAAAAAAACCTTAAATCTGAGTATTTTAGGAAAACAATAGGCAGCCAAAGTCAGAAAACAGATTCTAATGTAATTAGGGCAGGGTAGAGGGGTGGAATCACAACTCCAAAAAAAAAAAGCTTCCTTTGTAGACTGGCCTATTCAGTTTCCCTGAAGGTGAAAAACATGTTTCAAAGACGAAATAAACAAACTAATTCATGCTACTACAAAGTATACTAACTCTCTCATTCTATATTTCTAGTGATAAAATTTACTTCAGCTCACAAATGCTGCACAGCAGTATTATTAACACATCTCACAGTGCAAGTTAAGTGATACTGGGAAAGAATTCACTATGCTTGTCATATCTCTGCACAGTAACTCACACACACAGTGGTTCCTCTCAGGGTCATATTAGGGTGTTTGCAGATTGCACCAGGCCCTAACTTAAGTTGCCTGTATTCTGGGTGGGTCTTGGGATGCGTCCAATATGTCTCGTACTGGGTTTTGCCCAACACTGAACAGTCCTTCAAGAAGCATTGAAGGCTGACAGCATCCCTCATATCTAAAGAGTTTTGAAATGTCTGCTTCATCTGTTTAGATTGCTGCTTCATTCTAATTTTAAGTTCTGTCTCTCATGGGCTATAACATTTGGGCTTTAAATAATTACAATATTCTTACAGATTTTTACCCCCCAAAATACTATCAACTACAGTTAATAAAGTTTTTTTATAGTTAAGGAATTTTACACCAAAAAGGTATGTAGAGATCATCAGACAGTAAACACAGGAGCACTGTTACCAGAATTCATTTAGCAACTGCAACAAAATCAGACATAAACAAAATTTTCAAAGAGATATGTTAGGACTCTTTCTTACTAAGTTTATTGACAACCCTGAATGACTGGCAGTAGCTCATTTTAGAGCAAGCAACAATAGCCACATCATGCAGAGCAGGACACATGCAGATAAGCCACTGATAAAAGATAATGTCTTCTTAGAAGCGAGCTGTAATAAGGATACCAAAAACTTTGTTGCCTGTTTATTACTTTAATTTCATGTTACTAGTAATTACTCAAGAAAATCTCGATAACCTGGCGCTGAGGGGGTCGCTGGTGAGCTACTCCGAGGTAGGACCCCATGATGGTAGATGTCTGCAGAGGCTCTGATGGACACCAGTATTCAAGGGCAAGTTCCAGATTAAAAGGGTCTTTCCTATACAATTCAGCAATCTACCAGAGAAAGGAAGATGTTAGAAAAATGTCAACTATATAAAGAAAAAGACGATTACTTCAACAATAAGCACTGCTTCTAGATAAGCTAAACACATCTGAGAGGCAAAGCATCCCATGGCTGGTGTTCCAGTCCTTAAAACTCTCTGAAAATGACAGCTTCTAAATAGCAATATCAGAACAAATGACAGCCAGAGAAATTCAAAATGCACACATAAGTGAAACTTTCATAACTTTCTATCTAATTATTATAGATTAAATCATTGCTAAGAAAACAGTGTCATTTCTCCCTAAATAACCATTTGCATACCTTGACATATTAACTAAAAAACAAGTTAGCCAGTGTCAGGATTAGAAATCTTACCCATTATCTGAACATACAAATTTCTTGGAGTAAATTTTCACTTCTAGTTTAAGTTTACTACATATTTCAGAGCCACTTAAGAAAGCATTTCACTATAAATTTTCCTGTTAATGTCCTGTAACCTAAAGGACTACCTTTGGAAAAGACAAGCAACCCCTTTATTAAAAACTGCTATATTGAAAATTGCACATTTGTACATTTTCATGCTAAATAAGGGGAAATATAAAAGTTTTTAATTCAGTCACGAACAGCAAATATAAAATGCACCAGTTCAATATGCAAATCTGTTTTCTGATGTAGGGTTTTTTTGAAAGTGCAGTTAGGTAACCTTAATAACTAATATTTAAATAAAAATATT